CTACAGCTCCTCTGCCGGTTGCCAGAAGAGCTTGGCCTATGGGGAAAGGAAGGGCGGCCCTGCTAAGCTCAAGAACATCAGGTCAGAAGACGGGGGAGGGGCAGAGGTAGGCCAGGACCCTTACCTGAGCAGTGGAACAACTTGCAGCTTGATACCTGAGACCGGCTTGCAAGTCTGGCGTCGCAAAGTGCTCGGGGGACTCATCTCAACCTGGTCCCTGGCAGGGAGAGGGCTAACTTGAGTGGGGATCACTGTGGGGGATACAAAAGAGGAGAGCAGCAAGGGAAGTATAGCTGGATGTCAAAAGACTCTGCCCTTTATGCAGAGAAGAGCCTGAAGCGTGGTCTTTCTCTCCCTAGAGTTAGAAGACATTCTACAGCTTAAAAGATAAACTGCAGAAGTGAATGCTGTTAGAAGCAATAGCGACATCACTAATGTCCATACCTCTCTGCCACTCACCTTGAGAACTCCCGCCTTGCGGAAAACTTATTCTGGATGTTTGATGGGAGCTGATCCCTGCCCTGAAATGCTTGCTTATTCAAAGTGCTGACTTTGGCCCCTTTCTGGCCCCTGTGGTTAGACATGCTGCTGCCACCTCTGCCTTTCACTGTGGTCAGCCAGGTTGCACTCCCACAAAAAATAAAGTATAGCAGCAAGCCCCGATGGAGGAGGGGGGACTGAGAATCCCCCAAGGCTTGGTGATGGCACTTCCTTGCAAGGTTAATAGTGCCCATTGAAGTGGGAGAAAGGGAAGCAGAGGCGGCTGCCTAGAGCTTATTGGCCGGATCAGTAGGTGGGCTCCCACTTCCTGGTCACTGTGGGGACAGAAAGTGTCCCCTTTCTTTTTTTCCAAATCCCGTAAACCCTTGAAGCTGTAACAGTCCCTCCAAGAAACTCCCACTTGCTACGTGTGATGCAACAGCCAACATTACTCAGAGACACCAGCCAAGCCCCAGCCTCCTTTTCCAAGCACACAACTTGGCCTTCTTATACTAATAGGTCCTGGGAGGTGGACTTTAAGGAGAGGGATGGAAGAGATTGCCCCTTTCTCCTCTGTCAGGTATAGGCTCCCAGGTGAAACCCCAACCACTACTGAGCCCAGACCTGGGAGCGAGAAGCATGGGCGGCCAGCCTACTTAATCAAACAGTTCTCTTCCCGAGTGAGAAGCAGGTCTCCCAAGCAGCTGTGTACAGGATTCCAGCCTTCGCTGTCGACTAATTGCCTTTTTGATGAACACAGGGCCCACTTTTGCCTCTTCCATATTTCTTACCCTGGGCTGTCTTGTCTGGATTCTTCAAAAGATCAGCGACAACCTCCTTCAATTTCTGTAGTGGCTACAAAACAAAAAGTGACTATTTAGCAGCCACGACGCATTTGGCACAGGTCTTGCGTGCAAGGCAGGGGTCCTCCAGAGCACTGAATACTCTCTCTCCAGAGGGGCGGGGGTGCTGGTGTCTCAAAAGGGGCCCCTGGGCTCAGCAGGGAAGAGCTCTAGGCCAGATAGGAATGGAGCTAGGGATTAAGTCCTCTGCATTCCCGGCTGCTTTGCTAAAGAGGTCATGCATACCCATATCCCAGTTTAGGAGACCTTGATCCGTGCTTGTTTATTGTCTATGCAAATGTGCTCTGTTTTTGACAATTCTAAGAAAACAAACTGAACATTCAATTCCAAAGAAATGGGGGAGAGGGCAGAGGAAGCATCCAGTTCAGTATAAGCTGCATTCTGAGCACTAGAGAACCATGCTCTGAACAATCCAGTTGTCTCTCCAACTTCTTTTCATTGGCTGCGTAGCTATTCAGACACCCACCTCGTGTGCTGTTTTCCCCACACTTCCTGTAAACGGGGGGGGGGGGGATTAGAATTAGAATTGCTACAGGTCAGCTTGTGTCAAGAATCTGACAGGGAGGGGTGCTGCACACTGCAGGCCAACACCCCCCCCCACACACACACCATGTCTCTTCGCCTACTTAGTCCCAGGAAATTCTTGCCTGCCTGCGCCTCTCCGGGGACCTTTGGTTTAGAAACAAGACCTGCGTTAGCTCTTTTGTGTTGCACCACCCCTAATTCTCATTGATGGCAGCCAGACACACACACACGCACACACGGTTTAGCTTGCACAATGTACCTACAAGGCCTAGGAGAGGTTTTTTTTAAAAAGAGAAAACCGAATTTACAGATTGCCCTGCTTTACTCGGGATAGCTAGCTAACTGCTGCATACTCGGCATGACAAACCTAAAACAAGGCACCCTGCTGATGGCAAATGGAAAGGTACTCACTACAGCCCCAGCACGAACAGCCGCTTCATACAGCCCAGCCACATCGAACGTGCCATGTCGTGCCAGCAGTTTTGCTTTGCAGATCCAGAACTGGGCAAACTTCTCTGCCTCTGGGATCTGGGAAAGCATGGCCAGGATCTCTTCTGAAGGAAATCCCTAGGAGAGAACGGAGAGGATTCAGAGCAGCACAGGCCGACAGGAACAGTGAAAACAAACATTCTCACTAGCTGCTCTAAGCTACATCTTTACACACCCACTTCTAAACCTCGTGTGAGGACAAACTAGAGGAGAAGAACAAAGAGCAATAAACCGAAACCCAACGCTTACTCTCTAGTCCATCCCCAAAGTATTGATAACCCAACTGGAGAATCCCAGTTCTAACCAACTACGCATTTTGTCACCTTGCTCTGGCAGCGGATACAGTACATGCAGGCTCTGCTACTGGGTCCCTAACCTCACCAGCTAGGACATCAGCATGCATAAGCAATTCTTTCATGACTACAGAGAGAGGACTTGCAAATCCCAACAGATATCATGCTTGTAGGGTGGCAGCTGCCAAATGGTGGTAGAAAACTGGGCTTGGGGTGGGTCAGAACATGTTTTCACAACCATTATCAACATAGCCCTGTATTTTGTATTTAGGACTGGTAAGCTAATTCGAACCATACTTGGAAAGGCAGGATAAACACAATCAGATAAAGCAGAATTTGCTGTCTGCTCATGGGAGGCCTGACCTCTGAACAGGAAGGCAGTCATTTACATCCAAAGCTGAACTGTAGCTTGCACAACGTACCTACAGGGCCTGGTAAGTATCCCAGGGGTCATTTCCTGCGGGAGTGCACAGGAGCGGAGCTCTGGCAGTAAGAAGCCCAGGGGGCGGGCACATGCAACAAGCCCCACCCCCTGCTCCCAGCAGCCCTCAGTCGGGCCATGGGGAGCAAGAAGCAGCAGGGCAAATTGCAGAGACCA